TATCCTTAAACTATTCTTAGTCTAAGGCCAATCACTTTAATATTTGTCAACCCTTAAACGAATTCTAGTTTAAATAATTAAACTATATTCTAGTATAAAATATTCCTAAATAATCCTTAAGCTAGGCCTAGTTTAAGATAAAAGGGTTTTGAAAATCTTAAACTTACCTTCACTTAAGGCCAACCAAAAACCGACAGCGTAGTGTTCACTGTTGGGTGGGTGGTACCCCCAAACGAGTAGGTACTCAAGTTTGGTTCTTGGATCCCGTACGTACGTTTTAACCCTAGCCACCGGGGTTCATACCCGCAAGGCCTAACTTAAAAAGGTATATCTTAGAGGTCTTCTAGATACCTTTCAAATTAACATTAATATGAGTATATCTTAGAGGTCTTCTAGATATCCTTAACAATACATATTATTTTCACAATCATCAATATATTCATTATGATTTAATCATTCAAATCATCATTTTTAATCAGAATATTCATCAAGATTTAATCATCATAATCATTAATCAATAATCATTACCATAATCATCAATCAACATAATATTCTATAACAATTAGCGTCCTAGCTTCGGGTGTTACATAACATTTTTATTTGTTAAAAAACATCATTTTTATTATGGTAAATCATTTTTCCAATGATCATAATCAATTGGTGGATTTTAGACCATATATTTTCAGAATATTTTCGGAACAGGATCTGGACTTGAGAAAAGTTGATTTTTATTTTTAAAACAATCAATTAATACCTAACAATTGATTTTTATATTTTAAATAATCAATTAATTGCTAAAAATCGATTTTTATACTTTAAATAATCAATTAATACTTAAAGTCGATTTTTTAGTTATTAAATAATCGATTAATACATTTAAATCGATTTTTATAATTAGAATAATCGATTATGTATATTTTTTAATATACTGACTTCGAACACCTCATCTGAAGCAATTTTTAATCGATTATTAGGAAGGAAATAATCGATTTTCGGCCACTGTTCATCATCTTCTTCCTCTGTTCAATTTTTAACATTATCATTTTTAATTACCAAACTTCAATTAAATTATATAGGAATGTTCCCCAATGTTCACAGATCATTTTAGAGTCATTAATTCGTAGTTTTAACAACAATTTCTTGATTTATGATTCTTGGTTCTTCAAACATGTCAAACGCAAAACTCAACCAAACGACCGTTTATGAACGTAAAAACGATCTATACGAACATTCTAGTCACTAGATATATCTACGGGCTTACCTCGAAGCTTAATGGAGGTTTTGAGAATTTTCCGGCGAAACTTCTAGCGACGATAGCTCTCAACTCCGGCGACCTTACACCAAATTGACAGCATCACTGCGTTCTCCACACTCAAGGCTATCTCCCAGAACGAATTTGATGAAGAATGGTGAAGTTTTGGTTTCCATTATATAGAAGAAGAATGGAGAAGAGGCCAATGGTTCCTGCGTCACTTCTTTGTTTGAGCGGCTAGTGGAGCGGACGGCGATTTCTTCCAATTTCAAACGCAAGTCCCTGATTGGGACTAATTTGGTCCCAGTCGGGGAACACTTTTTGGTCCAACTTTCTCCGAATTAAATACCGTTTGCACCGTTGCAATCGTATAATTAAACTCTATCCAACGATATAATTTTCATATTTATTTGTAATACTTTTTTCGACATCATATTTTTGGGTGTTTGACTTTGACAGGGTCAAAATTGATTTTGTTGACCTTTACCCAGAAAGGTTTTTACATTTCATTAGTATTATTTATTCTCATGATTTATTTCAATAAATCATTTCAAAGTTTATATCACAAACAAATTTTTCATTTATTCTTGATTTGGATCTGTACTCAGGTTCTCAATCAAGGTCACACAGTAAGTCAACATATTGGATTTATCTGTATGAGATTTATCCGGATTATGATATTGGATATCAGAACATATTTTATTTTGGCCCAAGGCCCAACAACAATTTATTTTTAATCAAAACAATTTATTTAATTGAATATTTAATTCAATAAATATTAGGGTATGTTTTGGGGTGTTACAAGTAGAGTATAAAAGTGATTGAAAAAGCGGTGGGGTTCTAGTGGCACCGTTTTCCGGTGTCACTAGCGGTGCCACTGCATTTTTAGGGCACCTCCGGTGTCACTAGAACCGGGCCGTTGAAAAACTAAGGGGCTGTTTGGCAACTTCTGAATAGGTAAGTGCTGAACGAGTAAGAGGTTTGAACCATTAAGTGCTGAACCAGTAAGAGGTCTGAACCATTAAGAGCTAGTATATTGCTTAACTATTTAGAGGCAAATGTCTGATCAATTCAGATAAGAGGTCTTAACCATTCAGACTCTGTATAATATTTAACCATTCATAGGCAAATCTCTTAACCATTCAGACATCTGAACCATTAAGAGGCTGAAACAAATAGTCTGAACCATTAAGTGCTGAACCATTAAGAGGCTGAAACAAACCGCCCTGAGTTATCAAAATGATTAAAAGTAAGGCTCGCCCATAAAAACATATTCTCGCTCAGCGTTGAGCGTGGGCGGGAACGGGTGGGGTACGGGGGTGGGGAATTTGCTCTCACCTACATCTTTGGTATTAAAATTTTTGGCCTGGCTTGGCCGGCCAAGCCTGGTACTTGGCCGCTTGGCCACCAGGTTGGCCAGGCCAGGTCGGGCAACCTGGCGTTACACGAAGCTTGATCCCCACCTGCACTTTAGGCAAGTGAACCAATTTTTAATCGATTATTAGGAAGGAAATAATCGATTTTCGGCCACTGTTCATCATCTTCTTCCTCTGTTCAATTTTTAACATTATCATTTTTAATTACCAAACTTCAATTAAATTATATAGGAATGTTCCCTAATGTTCACAGATCATTTTAGAGTCATTAATTCGTAGTTTTAACAACAATTTCTTGGTTTATGATTCTTGGTTCTTCAAACATGTCAAACACAAAACTCAACCAAACGACCGTTTATGAACGTAAAAACGATCTATACGAACATTCTAGTTACTAGATATATCTACGGGCTTACCTCGAAGCTTAATGGAGGTTTTGAGAATTTTCCAGCGAAACTTCTAGCGACGATAGCTCTCAACTCCGGCGACCTTACACCAAATTGACAGCATCACTGCGTTCTCCACACTCAAGGCTATCTCCCAGAACGAATTTGATGAAGATGGTGAAGAAATGGTGAAGTTTTGGTTTCCATTATATAGAAGAAGAATGGAGAAGAGGCCAATGGTTCCTGCGTCACTTCTCTGTTTGAGCGGCTAGTGGACCGGACGGTGATTTCTTCTGATTTCAAACGCAAGTCCGTGATTGGGACTAATTTGGTCCCAGTCGGGGAACACTTTTTGGTCCAACTTTCTCCGAATTGAATACTTTTTGCACCGTTGCGATCGTATAATTAAACTCTATCCAACGATATAATTTTCATATTTATTTGTAATACTTTTTCCGACATCATATTTTTGGGTGTTTGACTTTGACAGGGTCAAAATTGATTTTGTTGACCTTTACCCAGAAAGGTTTTTACATTTCATTAGTATTATTTATTCTCATGATTTATTTCAATAAATCATTTCAAAGTTTATATCACAAACAAATTCTTCATTTATTCTTGATTTTGATCTGTACTCAGGTTCTCAATCAAGGTCACACAGTAAGTCAACATATTGGATTTATCTCCATGAGATTTATCCGGATTATGATATTGGATATCAGAACATATTTTATTTTGGCCCAAGGCCCAACAACAATTTATTTTTAATCAAAACAATTTATTTAATTGAATATTTAATTCAATAAATATTAGGGTATGTTTTGGGGTGTTACATTTCTTCCCCCCTTAAAGGAATTTCGTCCTCGAAATTCTTCTAAGGCCAAACGTTCAACATTTCATAGTGATCTCACTTAATCACGACCGTGTCATGTTCATTTGGTTAAACCATAATTACTTCATTATCCACATGAATACATAATCTCAAACTGTCGATGTTATCAACTCGTTCTTTCTTCAAGAGGTTAACAATCTTAGATTAAGCAAGGTATGCAACGATCCTTTTTGCAGGTTTCCATTTAGATTCAACGTCCATAACCAAGATTCCTTTGGAGGGTATAACATCGTATTTTGGAGCATACTTGACATATTTGCACATCACTTCGTTCATTCATAATTCTCAATTGTACAACGTCGATTAACGATATTCTTTCTTTGATTGAAAGTCCTTTAGTAGCATTTACAGTTTCAAGTTCGCGATAGATGTAGTGGACTATTCAGAGGTTGTTTAATTCATACGTCATAGTGTAACCTTCTCAAGATACTTGAGTTATCTTCATATCGTTCATATAGTTCAACAATGATTCGTAAATAACATCAAATGGCTTTTATCGGTTCAGAATATGGGATTTGTCATCATTTATGAGGAAGTACTTTCGATTGACTATAGATGAGCTTGTTACCATCGGTTTACATCGGAACATTTCTTCATTCACTTTATGGTAGCTCTCATTATTGTTAATGAGTCTTTGTATTCATAGGTGATGACGTTCGAGTAGCGCATCATATATGTCTTGTTGTATTCAAATTTCCTTCATCAATTTGGAAAAATATGTTCATGATAGCGACAAGTTCGATTGTAACACTATGGTTGATCTTGTTTCAAGGGAAGAAGAGGATATCTTCAGTACACGATTCAATTCATGAATTCATAGAGTGAGGGATCTTTACAAGTTCTAACACCAACATCGCATATAGGTTAGGGATTTTCGCTTGAATGATTCAGCTTGTTCTCGTGACGTCATTTCTTCTCTGGTTGTTGCACACACATATCCTTGCTAAGGTTATAACGGAGTTTGTTTGGTCAATAAGATCATCGATAATAATCTTCAGAGATAACGTAATTGTATTGATTGTTTTGTGGTCCACAAAGAGAGGTTCAACATAATGTTCAAGTCAAGGTAGTTTTACTATTGTGATCGAGTCACGTATTCCACAAGGTATAGTTTTCAAAGATCGGTATTATAAAACATCTTTTCGTTTAATGAAGAATCGTGGTTTTATTATTTTGATACAAAGAATGGAATTCAATCTTTTCAAGATTAATCAAGCGGGATGTTTCAAGGGTGTAGTTAACATATCAAGTTTGAGTAATTCAAGGATATGAGTCACAAGATATCAAGATAGCATTTGTGAATTACCGTTACTAATCGTAGGTTTTCTTCCTTCAATGTTTCACTCTTTGGAAGTTACTCAAGAGGTCGTTGTCTTAGGAAATAGCCATTTTGACTTTTCGTCTCGGATTTGAACGTGTTTCAGGACAGCGAATCTAACTGTTCAAGAGTCTCAATACGTCATATCGTCAGCAGACTATAGTATTAGCGAGTACGTTCTCGTCTGCAGGTAATTTGAATCCATTTTACTATACGTATTTTGGCTAGTGATAATTACTTTTCCATCAATGGTCCAGTTTTAGAGACTATATATATCACGATTATGGAAAGAGAATCTCACATTCTCACATTATGGAAGGAACTTCTCGAACACTTCCTTACACCATAAGGTTCGTTGGTCTACTTGGTAGTCATTCTCTTGGTATAAATCCAAAGTTTATGGCTACTGCGGTAGCTTTAGGAAGGGAATTGTTAAGACGAAAAATTAAACTTGCCTATGGAGGAGGTAGTGTTAGCCTTCAAGGAGCTGTTGCTTCAACAGTCTTTACCAATGGTGGTCTCGTTAGAGGTTTCATTCCTGGGTACATAGCAACACGACGGGTCTATGGACCTGCGTACGGTGTAGAGCACACAGTTTCCAGTAATTACTACAAATATTTTGAGATGAATCATGCCGTGGAAGCTTTCATTGTTCTTCCCGGAGGAGTTGACACCATGGAAGGTTTGTTCACCTTGATCTCGTGGGCTTCTGAAGGGTTACACAATAGACCCATTGGTCTTTTAAACATTGACGGTTATTTCAATAACCTTCTCAAATTCTTAGACGATGCGGTGAGGCAGAACTTCATGGCTTCCAGTCAGAGGAAACTTTTTATTTCTTCTTTCT